AGTAATCTTCGTTCTTCTAATAATATTTGTTGCAAACATGCACTTTGTCCTAATTTTCGTAATACATTAAAAGAGAATGCACTATAGAAAAAAAGATCGTTAAGGATACAAACCCTTGATACACCTATGAATGTAAGACCTGTTGCAAATTCTTTATTTCCAATATTTATTCAGCTTGTGGTAATGTCAAACCTTGTGATTGTAATTGCCCAGGCAAGACATAATGCAAACTGTATGCGAGAGCAAATACCACCCAAGTGTATTTGATAGGTTGAATTGGTAGCAAGAGTATGTAAATTGATTTATTAATTAGAACAAAAACTGGCTATTTTATTTTATTTTTTTTTGACCTTTACATTACTCTTGAATTACATTATTTATGTCATTTCCCATAAACTTACATACATTTCCTTATATTACTATATAATTTTTAATCACTCAATTAACCATCCCATCCGTCATTACTTATTCAACCATAATGATGCGCCCGATCCCAATCGATTGCCCACATATCCCCAGAGACATTATTACTACAATTTCAACTCTCACTATTACTTCCACTTTAATAGGCCAACATTTCGTTTCTTCTTATTTATTTTAACGAATTTCTTCACCTCGTAACAAATAGTTAATTTTATCTAACGTGCTTGCGATCAAAAATACATATTTATTTGATTTATGTGTTTGTATAAAAATTCTTTTTTAACCATGTATTTTAAAAGTTAGCTGCAAAATTTTATTTTATTTAATTTTATTTAATGTTCTTATTTAATGTGTTTGCTAAAAAAATTTCCTTTATTTTTGTTACAATGATTTTAAAGTCAGCAGCTACATTTTAAATTAACGGTTTAGTATCCAAAATTGAACCTAATTTTAGGTTCAATTTTCGGATTCAGAACCTAAATCAGGGCCAGCTGAACCGGGAACTGGACATTTCTAAAAAATCGTAGAGTATGGCTTTAAGGCTTCCACTTCGTTTCCCTCAGCTCCAGCCAATAATATACATCCTCCAACCAAATGGTCTAGCATTTAATTTACCTTAATTAGAGTTCTACAATATTTTTTTCAACTTATAAAATGTTTAATTTCTAGAGTAATGAATAATTTTTAACAACAATTATTCAAATAAGTTCAAATCGATACCATATCATAAACATAAAGAATTACTACTAAATATAGGTTTTTTATATTGTATATGTCGTAATAGAATCTTTGTTAAATTCTAAATGCACTTAAATTAAAGCGAAATTTTAAATTCACCTAAGTGGTTAAGAATTTCAAAATAACAAAGTTAATTTCAGATTTATCTAGCAATATCTAGCAATATCGATATTCAATTTTCAGTTAACTGCAATATATTGTCTTTTCTACATACATTCTGTCTAAATTATTAAAGTATTTGTTGAAATAACAGTTATTTCCGAATGGTTTTTTACATTTACAACGAATTTTTTTTTTTTTGTAACTACACGATTTGTGACATCACACTCAAGAAATTGAAAAAATTTCAATTATTATTTCAGTTATATTTCATTCTACTAATCATACATTATATCATTATTATTGGTTATACAGTACATAATGTATGACATTATATATATTTTAAGTTACACATTATCTAAATAAATCCTAAAAAGGTTTATCCTTTGTATATTTACTACCAAGGTTTACTATACTTATATACAGTATTTTATATAGTTTACTATATTCTTCTCAAATATCTCACTTTATGACTCCTATAGAATCGGTTTAATCAGATAGATCAATCAGATTCTTTGTTGAGTTCATTAATAGAGAAGCTTTAGCAGAATAGACAAGTAGATTGCATGAGACCAATGAGTATGAATGTTTTGTGTATGGTTTGTAATACTGTAGAATTACATTACGGCATGGTAAAATTAAACATAGTATTTTATTGCTAGTATTTAATTCCATAAATATTCTATGCTGTGATTAGTGTTGCCTGCTGCAAAGTTGCAACTTAATCTTTACAGCTTATTTATGTTGTAATTATTACAAAATAAGTCATAAATATTATATTATCGATGTCACATTCTATTGCGACGATAAGTTGCAACCCTAATAGCGCAATAAAAAAAAATCGCACTTCACATTTGCAGCAAGCAATGCTAGCTGTGATGCTACTGTATAATGCCATGTAACTTGTATACTATGTTAATAAGGCGCACTGATAAGATTATTTTAATAAATCAAAGTAATCTTATAAAAAAAAGGACTATTTCTTTATTTTTGGCAAACTATAACTATTGGGGTTGTGCTTAAAAGCAGCTCATATGGTTAATCGGTGTATATTGGGCCTCTTAATATAGTCACCAAATTACTTTATCTATTTTTTTCTTTTTAAATATATATTTTTTATCTTTATTTTACTTTCTTTTTTTGATAACAAAGTGTTCTAATTTAAGATTGACCAAGTAACTCGTCATGTTTTTTTGTCGAAGTCTCAATTTTCCTAAATATGTAAATTTCTATGATGTATACCTTGTATTTTATCCTGACTTTAAAATTTAAATATTAACAATGTTGCTCGATCTCGCATGGGATGACATCGATGTTACACGTGATCAAGATTTTTCTATTAAAAAAAATAAAACGCTTCTTACAAAAAACTTTTAGCGAAATAAATTTTGCAAATTTGAGGTCTTTATGAATTTTGATATGAGTAGAGAGGGTGGATCATTGAGTTTTAATTCTATCAATTATTCAAAATTAAATTTTAACTATTAGTGTTAAAGTTTTTAATACAGTAATAAGCTTATAATTAAAAACATGGAGCACTTCAATCAGCGGATCGAAGGCAGAATTTTAATTGGTCGGAAATCATAAACTAATCAAGTGAGTTGCCAATTAAAATCTGGAGGTGCAAACCATCTTAATTTCATAGAGTTGTTCTGATTGGCTAAAATTTAAATCCGCACTCGCACATTGAATTTTTTAGCAAGTCATTCTTGCATTAACCACTCCATTAATCGCGATAATTTGAGCAATATTTCGATCACTAGCTAATTACATTGAGGAAGCTGTCTGAGAACACCTTTAATAACGAAAGAGACTATCTATTGTAAATATTTCAGCTTGTGAAAATCCAAAATCTAAATATAGATGAGGTTAGTTATACACTTAAAAAGACGAAAATTAGAAACACGTGGTGATCTAAAAAACGATTCAGGGTTTGGCAGCACCTTGATTCGATCATAGTAACTAATAAAGATGACAAAAAAAAAAAAAAAACAATATACGATTTTTATATTTTCCAATTTTAAAGTGGTTACACGGACAATCATTTCATTGACATTTCTTTTTATAGACAATCGATTCATAGCGATAGACAGTTCATTTCATAGACAGTATTACATTTTATAGACAATTTTTAACGCTGATTCAGGAGTTATTTGCTGTTTGAAGATCTTCTATAAAACGAACTGTCTATGAAATGAACTGTCTGTAAATTAATTGTCTTTAAAATAAATTTTCTATGAATTGGTTGACTATGAAATGAAGCGTGATTTCCTGTAAAGTGATACGTAACCCGAAAATTTCTTGTAATTCCAGTAACAAGCACGCAAGGTGATCGTTTATTTTCGGATGCAGGAAATGTTATAAGTGCGAAGAGAACGTTATTAAATCCAGTGTTATTTTGCTATAAAACGTAATTCGAAACAATTTTATTACAGTATTCCTGATATTTAGGATTAATATATGGTTAATTTTTATAAATATAAATCACCGAATTAATTGTATATTAAATAATTTTTAATAGTGCAATTGATAAATTTAATATCATATTAAATTTTTATAAGTGATATATTTTTGATATTCTAAAAAAAAACTCGATAAATACTCAAATATTCAGTCAAACTTTTTCACCAAGACTCGTTTCCTGAAAAAAAAAACCTGGTCAGCGACGTGTTTTTCTAACCTGATAAATATTCCGAAATCCATTTTTTTCGCTATGGCTCTCATATATTTCATATTACGATTTAATATCTTAATGTTAACAATTATGCGAATTATTTTGACGAATGTGTCATAAATTGATGAGTCCAATCACTATTCTGAACCTGAATCAGGTTCAGTTGAATTGAAAGCTAAATATTCCTGAAATTAAGTAGATTAAGGCTTGAAAGGCCTCAGCTCCAGCCAATAAATATCTTCGTTCAATATGGCTATTATTTGATACCTTTAATTATTTTTATTTTGCGTGACTTTATATAACGTTTTGATTTACTTTTCTGAATAGGGTGTAACTCAAGGTTTCAATATGACAAATAATATAGTATCTTATTAATAAAAATTTTAATAGTTTTTTTCACCTACACTTGTGTTGACTTTAAGATATTTATAAGCAGCTGTTAACGTATTGCCTTTCTATTCTTATTTAAAATCTTGCCAAAACCTTCCGGTGCTAATCCTATGTAGGATCTTTAAGTTTATTCAAGATACTGGTAATTGATATTTTTCATTGGAAATACCAATTTTTTGCTGGTGTTTTTACCATAATATTAACTAATGAACTTACCTTGAGTAAATATTTCGACCTTTAAACAAATTAATACGTAATTCATATGAATCAAGCCTTAGAGAAACTATCTTTGCATATATATTTAAATAAAACTTTAAAGAAAGTGGTTATACGTACTACTGTAGAATGTTCACATCGAATAAAGTACGTGCATCAAATAATCGCGAATCGGAATACATCGTTACAAAAATGATGTGGTTACACAGATAGATAATGATCGGGCTCGTGGACCATGTGATATTTAAATCCATGAGAGGTTACACGGCATAAATTTAAATCTGATTAAACTATTTTATTCTATTACCTTTGTAAGCAATATTTCATATCCCTCATTTTTTTAAAAAAAAATTTTTTTAACGTTTACCAAAGTGTACTTTGCTAAAAGTAAGTAGAATTATCATAATACTTATTTTTGATAAACAACTAAGTGAACTAATTGAGTCATTTTATTTAAGAAATGGACGACAGTGAAGTAAAAATGGAAGATGTAGTAGTTATATTGGATAACGAAGATCAAGAAATTACTACAGCCAACAATAACAAAAAAAAAAGAAGCACTATCGCATCTACAAATCTCTATAAAGATCGAATAAATGGAGTTGCACAAAAAAAACCAATTCGACCTTCGATTTCTCCAGTTACACCATCTAATACTCCATACGTTTCGCAAACATGGAAAGAATATTATGAACAAATGATGAAAAGTAAAGAACAAACAAAAATCAATTTGGAATGGCTTGACTTATCTAGTAGACTTCAACAAACGTATACTGTATATATACAAGAGAAGAGTAAAACATATGTATTTGAAAGTGAAAGAAATAAGGCTATTATCAATATTTTAAAAGAATCGATTCCTGAAGAACATAATTCAGAAAAAATGCGTTGGAGAAGGGTTTATGATTTACTTTTATCATTAGTAGTTAGTGGTGATAAACTAAAAATTCCTTTTGAATTGTATCATAAAATGTTAAGAGAACTGAACATGACGATTAATTATTTGCAGTCAGTAGATAAAGATGAATTTGAGGACTTTAAAAATTATTTTTTGAACAATTGTAGCAAAATGATAGGTGAGTAAAGTTTTTTTTTTTTTTTTATTAATTTGAATAAATAATAATTGTTATTTTTTTTTTATATTTTAGGTTTTTGGTACTGTTAAAAATTTAATGTGATTTATACCTTGCACAACTTTGAATACTAAGGCAAGAGTACTCAAAATTTTAACATATTAATATGAAATGTTTTAAGGTGTGTTAATTTCTGCAATATAAATTGATAATACTTTCAAGAAATTTATTTGTGAATTGGCTAGTGTTAAACATCATACTCGTTAGTTTGTAATTTTAAACACATAATACAACATTATGTGATATGGTGCGATAATAATGAGCCGAACTTTTGTAAAGTCAGTACCTTATATACTTTATTATATATACTGAAGTTTACATAAAATATAAAATTAAATTTTTTAGTAATAGTTCGAGCTTTGATAATTATAGCAGCTTTAAGATTAATTCTGACTAGCATTAAAGCGAGTAAGCTTTATCAACATCAATCATGTTTTTTTTGTGAAAATCACGTAGTGCATGTTAACATAATTTTAGTATTTCACACATCTTGATTATGTTTCACAACGTATAAGCTAATATCTTTCCAGAAATAAATGCATGCATGTTCTTTGCTTATCTATTTACACGGCGTTTGATTATGTTTCACAACGTCCAAGCTAATATTTTTTAAAGGAATCAAGCACGTTAACAGAGTCAGGGGATAGTTGATAGTAGAATTATTTTTGTAAATCAATACGGTTACATGCTCCGTAATGTTGCAATGACATAGGACGACTTTCTGCTAGTGTTATATAGTTTAACTTTTAGAACCAAAATAGTATGATGTTTCATTACTCACTTTTTTTAGGTCATTTTCCTGATCATTAAACCACCATCGATATCTAATCTAATTTAGATTTAATTCTATGAATCCGATAATTTGAAATTTCGTTATTTCCTCAGCTTCAAGCAATTGTATTTAGACAACATAAAAATAAAAATGCCTGAGTAATAGCCTCTGTACGATTCATTTTCTCAACAGAACATTTATCTGACTTTCTTAATAACTTTTATGAAAAACTTACTGTCGGAAATGGATTATCAAAAAATACCATCAAAAAGTGAACGTTTGGCGAAATGTTTGTCGACAAAAAATAGGTTATAAAAATTTCATTGTTGGTAAGATTGCATTTCGAGAAAGCTTTATTGTAAGCAAATGTTCAGTAGGAAAATTGAGAGCTATAGCTAAGAATCACATTGTGCAATGATTGCTTAACCATTGGTTTAATGCACAGATTTTATAACTTTTTAAATGCATTTTTAAAGAAAAATATTAAACGAAAAAGTTTACTACTAGGTATCAGGAGTTGATAGATGTCCGAAGCAACAATCTGATTGGGCATCACGTGTTGCAGAAATATGCAGTGTAACCTAATATGAAAAATTGATTGGGTGCTGTCAACGGACATTGCATGGTTTGGAG